AGAAATTAAAACATAAATAATATTAAAATCTGAAATATAAGCAAAGTTTTGATGCCAATTTCATTGATATATAGTAATAATAAAGTTACTTGGTAAAGTTTTGAAAATAAGTTGATAAAAGACTTTGACATGTGCAGTTACACCCACCCATTGTGAAAGGGTTAATAGTTTCTTGACATCACCCGCATGCACTCAATACAGCCGTATCAAGCTCAATCTCCCCTAGTGCGAGAACTGTGACATCTGTTCTTTAGTCATCGCCTCTTCTCCAATTCATTTTACTACCCCTCCGAGAAGTAACAATTTGCTAATAGATTTCTCCGACATTTAATTATAGTGTATTTATAACTAACAGAAAGCCAAGGAAATTAGCTACGAAATCATGTATATATGAAGTTATGTTCTGTACAAATAATTGACAACGAACTTCTTTTCGAGGCTAATTTTCCGTGAGAAACACAGCGAGCAGCTTAGTTGAATTCTTAATGGCTTTTGTGAGTTATAAGACACTGCCTGTTTTTTCCATGTTATTATTCTGTGTTCTTTGGTGCATTACTTAATTGAAGAAACAATGTTTTTGAAAGTAGGAGCATTAGTATTAAATATTAGATAGAAATACTACTAGCTGTTTGACTGAGGTTTTCATTTTCTTAGACTGATTTTTTTCAGATTAATGACTATTAATGACAACATATTAATTTTAATGACTTTTAAGGGCATTAAGAACACATTTTTGAACTTAATGATGCACAGGAATCCTATAAAAGTACAAGTTAACAAACCTTTTTTGTGTTATTTAAGTAAAATCTGGAATTTCCCCAGTAGTCTTGACCTCGAAGGTAATTCATCCAGCCAAGAAGATACCAGGTATCAATAACTTCATCATCCTCTTCAACAAGTCCTTCCAGAACCTCACCTGCTTCCTGCAATAATGTTAAGAGCAAATTCTGTATGTTATAAAAAATTGTATAAACCAGAGTACTTATTTTTAATGAAAGTTTAAACTGAGTAATCTGACTAGTCTGTTGTTCTGTGAACTGGGGCTTAATTGATTTATTTAATTTTAAAGTAAGCAACTCTTTATAAATTTGCTTTGTGCCACTTGAAATCTACACAATATGGCAAATTGAATAGCTGCAAGTTGCATAAAAGAAAGTTTAACTTGACCTAAGAAACTCTAAGTTGGTGTTTCAACTTTGTTACTTCAAATGGCATTATGATAAACAAAACAAAAAACAATGGAAACTTAATCTATTCCTTGTAATCACTTACTAGAATGAAATATCAATACATTCTATTAAAATTCTTTTTAAATATATTCAACATCAAATGCTGTAAATATATATTCAGGAGCACAAACTCTTATACTGAAACTTATTTTTATTTTGGAAACAAGATAATTTAACATCATTTTGTAATTATTATATAAAAGGGTGGAGGTTGGGAGTCTTGTAGAAACATAGGGTGGTCTATTTCTACTATGAAAATATTTTTGCCTTTTTATACATCTCATAGAAGGAGTGGAGGTTGGAGTTTTACATTTTAGAAACTTAGAGTGGTTTATTTCTACTTTAAGGTTGTATCTAAATATTACGAATAACTGCCTTCCCACAACTGGCTGTACACAGTGAAAAGTGGTAGGAGTTGAGACACTATGGGTTCAAGAACTCAAATCCTAACCATTAACTGATTTTACTTAGTTGCTGGCAAGTTTGATATTGGTGTCTGGATCTTGTCTGATAGATGAAATATCCCCAATGCATTTGGTTGATATGACCACACACTTTATTCAAATTTGATGACGAGGAACCCACTTTGAGACTAATAATGGTTGGAGACGGCTTGAATGGGTAATGAAGAAAAACTTTAATATAAGTTTAACATAACAGCAAATGCACAACGTTTTGACAAGGTTTTGTCATCATCAGGTACCTAAGTACTTTTCTGCAGTTATGCACAAGAGCTGTACAGTTTACACAGTAAAAAATAAGTGCTCTCTAACTGCCAGAAGATTCTGTTGGTGAACTCGTGAATGATCCAGTTTTGTGTAAACAAATAAAAGAAAATGTTGTAATCTCATTATTTGTGTTTATTATGACTACACCTGGTGATTTAATTTGTTAAATTAATCCTGCACTAATTTTCACCTACTGAAGTAATAATTGATAATGAGTTAAATCACAAAACGTTACTGCTGCATTTTGTATAAGATTTAATGTTTCTCCCACTGACAGAATTCTGGGAGTGATTATTCCTTACACACACACACAAATTATTTGTAGCACTGGTGTGTGTGTGTGGTTTGGGGGAAGGGGACCCCCGACTCCTGTTGATTTTTCTCTTCTGAATGAGGAAATCCAAACCAAATTTTATGAAATTCATGTTTAGTAAGGAACCTGTTAAACTGAGTAATTCAGAATACAGTACTAGTAACTTTTACAGAGGTAAATTCTGATTTTAGTAATTACAAAGTTTTGACCTACAGTATTGGGTACCTGATGATGAAACTTAGTATAAACTTACTAAATAGTATCTAACTTATAATTTAAAACCTTGACTTAGTATTTCTGTAATTTTCTAGGTTATAAAATTTCCAGAATTTTGTTGTAAGACACCTGAAAAAACATTAGCTAAAGATACTTCCTTCAGTCTTTGGATAATTTTTTAGTTGTTGATCATTAAGTACCATTTTATATATCTAGTCAGTTCAAAATTGACTGATATTAAGATATCTCTTTTGATATTTTATTTTGCCAATACCAGTAGTCACTACTTTTGGCTGTAAACCATAAAAACAATGAAAACTGATAAAGAGTTATCAGTGACTTACAAACTGACCTTTCATATGACATCACCATTACCTTTGTTAGGTTACAATAACTTTTCCAATAATATTTTTTGTCAAGATCAATTTATATCTAACAAATAGTTTCTTTTCAATAAAAAGTAAGTCATTTACATATTTACATTGCCTGAATATGATAAACCTAATAACAATATTGAATAAATAAGGATTTTAGCAATCAGAATATTTTGCCATCACCTACTATACACGCTAAAGCTAAGCTTACCTAATATTGTATCACAGAAAATTTCCATAGCCTTCAAATGCATAATTTAATATGAAAATATTTTTAGGAATGAAAAGCTCATTTAAAGGAACTACAAACAAATTCTCAGATCTCCGACTAGTTTCCAAGTCTTCTAACATCAGATTTGTTCATCCCTAGAGAAGCTCCATCTAGTCACTTTCCCATGAAACCATAATTGAATGTTCTATCATTAATCTGTTCCATCCAATCATATTTAAATGTTATCTACAGGTATTTTCAAAGCTGGGGTTCATTAGTAATTGTTAGACTACATACATGCTGTTATATCATAAAAGAGTGGAAATGAAGCCTATAATACTCCTCCTCAGAATTACACAGAAATGTAGTTTTCAACATTTAATTTTTCTTTGCAAATTACAATAAAATAAATATTAAGTATTATAAATTTTGAAATTTCATATGCAGGTGTGCACTCGACACTTGAAAGGTGCTCACAAGTCATGATAGGGTTAAAAGTAGGACAACTGAATATTTGAAGACACTTACATCATATAATTCTAACTCAATGAGAAGTTTGCTAGTGTTAATTCTGGCATCATAGCTGAGAGGGCAAACCTAAAAGAAAAAAGAAAAACATTTCTATAAAAACAGACAAAGTGTCTGACATACCTTAACCAAATTAAACAGCAGTCTAACTAAAAAGTCTTATGAGGAAAGAAATTTCTTGATACTTTTTCTGGGATATCATGAAAAAAAATCAATACATTTAAAATAGAACTACTTGTCTAATTTTCGGGGAAAATAGTTTCATGGTATGGTATGTAAATGTTAACTAAAAGACCAGTTTTCTCTGTAAGACACCAAAATGTTGAGTTATCTTTAAGCGTTTGTTCACACCTTTTATTACTCAATAATTGAAAGTTTCCAATGACTTATCATCATTATTTCTAGAACAAAACTTGACTTATACGTATATAGAGAAATAGATTTCCAACAATTTACAATACTGTATATCAATATCAATGCTAGTAGACCAAATCCCAAACTACTTTAGCTCTTTCAGCACAAACTCAGTTCCTGGGACCGACCTCATGACCATTTTGTGCTTGTTATAGTTTTCATGTTATAACTGTTAAATTAGTAAGCGTATGTTCACAAAATCTGGCAGATTATCAGTAAACATTACAAGGTTTTCATACACAAAATATCAGATTTGATTAAGTTTTAAGATTTTTTTAAGTAATGTTTTTCTCATGCCTTTTTTTTCGCATGTTGATTATCCAAAATGCAAAGTAGTTTTGTTTTTACGATTAAAAATATTTTATATATCAGACAATTTTCAAATTTTACATGCAAAATCTTTATAACCTCCAGATAATTATCAATCATTTTAAAAAAAAACTTTATATTTTATCTGTTATTTTCATTATCAAATCTCTGTACGGGTTTGGTAGATTTGACCAATCTCGTAACCACCATAAAAAATTATGAAACAAATATAAATTATGTTTTTTTGTTCTAGAATGGCTACAAATTATAATATAAAAACACAAATATTTAGTCTAAATAGCTTAAATCTCATAACATTATACATTTATATAAATAAATTTATTATTTTTATTATATTGACCTTTCAGCCATGCCTGACTAACATTACAGAAGTTGAAATGACACGGCGCACGTGCACTCATGTTACCATATCCAATAATATAAAAGTGACCTGTCTTGGCTGTGTTTTAGTGGATGAGTATTTTTTAAAATACAGTCACATTTCAGTTATAATACTTTATATATGGATATACATTATTACTATTTACAAATAAGTTCTTAAACTTATTTTACTTAAAACAGAGAACAGTAAATAAATAAGTGTAGCAAACAATTATATCTTCTAGTTATGATCTTTGTACTCATTTGCTGCTTGTTGTAGGTTGCCTTTTCAAAATTCACACGTGGAGGATGTGAAACTAAATATATTTTTTAAAGTTATATATACATATACATTTTGAAATAACCAAAAATCATAAATTACTATATCAACACCATAGAATTCCACTATAATTTATCAAACTCAGTAACTACACTGTATTTGGGTCTAAAAACAATATGAAATTTTGAGGTCACTAAAGTTTCACCTTACAGTTTTGAATTTAAGCTTTAAAAGGCACCTGAATAATTCAATTATGCAGAGAAGGCCACTCAGTGGACATTCAGAGCTTTGGATTGGTTATTCACACATAGTATACAGAAGTGTACATAAGCATGTCTTTCCAATAACTGAATAAGTAAATGCAGCAATATCTAATCAAATACAAAAGATAGAAGGTTTCTTACTTGATATTCTAGCTTGTTATTATCAGTAACTTGAGTTCCTAATTTGTAAGGAACTATAGACTTTGTAGTTGGACATCACAAACATCTAATTTGAACTAACGTTGCATTCAACATACCATGTGACACATAAAAATCAATATTTAGGTGATTTTTTAAAATATTTAATATGAATTCATAAAATAGTAGTTCAATAAAATTTTGATTCTGAGTCAACAAATGTGAGAACATGGCCTTTGACCCATGTGGATAGAGTTAATTATTTGAAAAACTGTATTTTCTTAATTAACAATATGAGCAATACTTGTAAGATTTTTTTTAATCATCTTATCTACTCTTATAGTCTTATCATATGTTAGTACTGCCTGTAGCCATTCTGTTTTCAGTTCACTTCTGATGCATATTTGGTAAGCCTAAGCTTCTTAACACACTTATGATTAAGAAAAAAAAAATCACCATTGTACACAATTTTAACCATTGGTATATGCAACATTCTCATAAAGTACACTCTTACAAACCAATGTTACTTGCAGTGGCCACTTGTAATTGCATTTTCTGTCATTTACTTTGGAAACACATAGTATATGATATCACTAACAGGGGATGCATAACTTAGATATATGAAAGAAAGGGTCTCTTTCCAAATACTCCTTGTATTAAGGCAGTGTGTAAATGTTACTGCTATGACCTTTTCATATAAACGTGTATTGCAACAATTCTTCCTTAAACTGCTAACAGTGTCACAATTTAACTTGTGACACATTTGTTCTTTGTTATAACAGTTACATCATCACTACAAAGAAAAAGCGTCTCACCTCAACTGGGTCAAAGTCAGAAGAATCTAATCTTCCTTCTCTAACTGCTTGGTATTTGGGTAACCACAAAGAGAGACTTTCTTGCATTTTAGCTTTGGCTTCCTATTGGTTTTCAGAAATAAAACAATGATATATTCAATGAGTTTTACAGATTTAAAAGGCACGATTTTTGGGAACACAACAATATTTCACCAGGTTCTAACAATGACACATCAAATCAGATAAAATGAAATTCATTTTGAAGATTTTAGAAAACCAAAGAAACTGCTACTTATTCGTCAAAAGTTACCTTAAACATGTTGTTTATAAATCTTAAATTTACATAACACTGTAGGAGAAATAGTACAAAGTAACGTATAATACAACAACAATTTTCAAACTTGACTTAAATCCTTGAAACTGTACTATAAATTTAACTACTGAAGATAAAGTTCTATTATCTACACAACTTTAAAAAAATATAACTTCATTAGAATTAGTTATCTATTTCAAATGAGTTTCAGGTTCCAACTCCAAAAATATCTTCAGACATCTACATCAATTACTATTTTGGTAGTTTCATATGTTTGTTTGCAAAAACCTAATCATTTTGTTTACATTTTCTTATTTGTTTTCTTTTAGTACTCTTCTAGAAGGTTAAAATATTCTCTTTTAATATATATTTAATTTATGAAAAGTAGATTAAAGAAATTTCATCTTAATAATTTTGAACTATGACTAGTTTTATTACTTTTTAAATATTGTACACTAAGTAAGAATATCATTACTTTAATAATTTTCATAAGGTAATAGGAAAAATACTGGAACAAATAACATTTGAAAATTTCAAATGAATTAATTGGTTATCAAAAAAAGCTAAGTTTTAAACCTGATAAACTGGATTGATTTCTTAAGTGCATACATATATGGTACCTCTATTTCCTCCTTGACTAAAAGGAAGTTAGACATACACTGAAGAGCTTCAGGATTCTTTGGATCAGCCAGAATTCCTTTCTGAATCAAAGTTTGACATTTATTCTCTGCATCTTCCTCAAAGCTAGTGGAACACAATTTCTGATCAATAATTTTTAACTTTTCATGGTATTTCCAATTCCGTTTCTAGAGTATACCATCTTTCGAACTTAGCATAAAGGTGAATATTACTCCAGAATGATATTAAATGTTAATTATATAATATTCATATCTTTCTGATGTGCTTCATTACATAAGTAAAAAATAATGAAAGCATGATTCAATTATGAAATAAGATGGCTCAGACCTAAAACAATCTTAGATCGGCACCGTCAGAAATGCTATTTTCTTTTTGACGTTATTTTCTAGTATAACTAGGTTTTGTCATTTATCTGAAAATTAATAACTACACATGTATCCTAATTATAACTTATCCAAATAATATATCTCTAAATTTAAATTTTTTTATGGGATAATAGTAAAATAAAAACTACTTAAATCAAGTCTTTGTAATATGTATGAATGTCTTACATAATACATGAAAATTGTGAAATCATGTTACTCTCAATTCTAAAGGTATTTACTAAGAAGTTAATTATGATAAAGGGTGTATCTATTGGTGTGTGTGTGTCCTAATTCTTCAAGTACCTCTCTTATCGAGGTAATTTCACCCTTCCCACAATGTAGTTTGTACTTTAGTTCTTTTTGTCTGTCTTTTATTTTCTGCTTTGTTGTTAGCTTCAGAGATTATTGCCGATCAATAGTTCATGATATTGTTGGTAAAATAAGATATGGATAACTAATACAAATCATCCTTAAACAAATCTGTAGAAAGCACATAAACATTCCGATATATAAAATTTGGGGATGTTTGTGTTTTTAGTAGCACCATTAATTCTATGAATTATAGTGGTTAATGGAAAGTTATCGACATTTGTACACAGAGAACTAGTTCCGTGGTATCACTCTTTATGTAAATTAAAAACTTTTAACTCTGGTATTGTTGGGTTAGTTTAGAGATATTAATTTCATAACTTTAAGTTTTAATTATATCAGAGATGACTTTTTAATTACCAAAAACTACAAAAGGTGCAGATGCTAAATTTACCTAAAAATATTAATGTTAAGATGATTTTGACAAAAAATAATGATCCTACTTATAACCACTGAATATTTCCATAAAATGAATTTATGATTTTGTGGTAGCAAGAACCTAATGCTAACTCATCTATTGCTCTCTTACCGACAACACAAAGTAACCCTTAAATACTTATGAAAAACACACATTTGTATTAACTTTCTTAAAAGTAAACCATCAAATCTAAGTTTTGTTTGTAGAAATGAGTTAAACTTGTAATTATTTCTTTTATTCTAGTAAAATAGAAAAAAGTGACAAATCTGACAGGTTTAGTTGAAGTGCCAAGTATTGTTTTTTTGAAAGTGAAAAGTCAAGAAGATAGTTCTTACATATAAAGAACTTCTATGACATCTCTAATAAATGTATGGTGTAATTTTTGTAATCAAGTTTTTACTCACTATGGCTATAGAACATTTTAACATGTAATCACCTTTATCTTATTGAGAAAGAAAGCATAACAACACTTAATGGGCAAAACAAACACACAAATACTCAAGTTTTAAGCATAAATTCTTCGCCCAAATCAAAAGTCTACAACAAACAGCAGACACCGTTAACAAATCAGTTCATGTAATGACACAATTACTGTTCTTTGTGTTAATAGCTTGAAAATTTTTCTCTGTGGGCAATAGTTAAATGTTGGCAATAGCACCATTAAGTGGAAAATATAATAGTCATTATATACTGTTGATATGTTTGTTTATTATGGCAGTCAAATTGACTAATACACAGGGTGGGGAAAAAGTTACAATACAATTGTTACAGATGTTACTAAACTATTGGTACCAAAGGAAATATTATGAAGACAATTGAAACTAATATAATTGTTAGTTGTTTCAGAGTAAGATGTTAGAAACTGTGCTCCAAATGAAATAATTGTAAAGTTACTTTCGCCCCATCCAGTATACATATCTTACATAAGCAAATTTACACAACTTACATAGCAAAAAAAAGTTAACAAGTTAACCAGTGACCAAAACATTTCATAGTTAATTTTACCTAGCATAAACATTTATAGGTAAGAGTTGCCATATCAGGAATAGCTTTTAAAACGTTTCAATTATTCATCCCTAGGTGTATAAACTGAAAAAAGATCTAGAATTTCATATACATGTATTGAATTCCCCTAAACTGCAGGAGAAGAAACAACAATTATATACACACACCCAAGGAGATTAGATATCATGAAATAAGATTGAATTAAGTTTACAGAGTATACGATAAGAAATGTGGCACAATAGCACTCACACAGAATTTATACAAAATAGAAAAAAGATTAAAGAAACACACATGCGATTTCTTCTTATCCACTAGTTAACAATTTTGCATTTAGTTGAGATTAACCCCACTTCCACATTAGAACAGTGGGTGAAGTCTGTAATGTATACGACAAATACTTACCAGCAGTCTGTCATGTAGATTTCTGCCATTGCACAACAGGCATTCGACAGCTCTCTTTTCAATGTAATAGATTCATTACTCTGAAATGTACATATACAAATTTATATCAGTGTTATTTATAGCAACTTTGAAGTTTTCTCATACTGAGTGGACAAAAATAAGGAAAATATGCTGTTCAGTTTATGAGGGAGGGATATATTTTGTACATAACTGCTAGAACAAATATACTACCTCAAAAGGATACTTAAATCAACCAAATAATATCAATTAATTCAATTTCATTGTGGCTAAAATCTTCAAGTTTGTACGACTACTTGCATAAAGATACTAGAAACCTCTTGCTTAAAAATATTTGTACGTTTACATTTACAAGCCTTGAAAAGAGACAACTGATAATGAATTATGTAACGTTATCATACACAAATAAACATAATATCAAGATGTTAGGATATTGGATTACCTCTCACTTTTTGATACAAATACTTACTTTTGTTATAGATAAATGAATTTGTTTTCTCAATATATAGAATTAATAAAAATGACAGGGCAAAAGTTTATGAACTAAGAACAGCACATCTTATTTACAGTAACAAGTAAACATAACACTCTTAAAGCAAGACAATCGTCTGCAGTAGCAAGTACAGTAACACTAAATTAAGACAGTAAACAAAACTTTGAAAGATCACCAAGATATCCAATACATAAACATTTGTTGTTGGTTTTACAATAGAATTCAAAACTCTAAAGAAAGGAAAAGAAAATCATGAAAAATACCAGGCTCGGCATAAACATGGTCTGCATATGACCGTTATTCATAATAAGTTGTCTTCACTGCAGTTTTACTCCAGGATAAGTCTTAGACTTTGAGAAATAATCTTAATGTGTAAAAAAAGTTGCAACCACAAACAATTGTAGAAATATAACTATAATACTGAAAGAATGTTTACTACTAATATAATTCTGAACATACATCACTAATAAGAAATTGTATTTGTAAATGCATGTTTTTTGAACACTTTTATTATTAGAAATATCCTTTGTTTATTTTAACAAAAACTACATAAAGAAATATTTATATCTTTTATATATCTAGATTTATCATAAGAAATAATTAACATTTTACTTGTTGACAGCAAGGTTACCCACTGATGAAACAATACATTCTGATCTTTATAATTAAGAATGTAAAAGTATATTTAATTAGATACACTCATTACCTGGTTTATTTTTTAGTTTTGCTTTAAGTAGGTAGATCATTCTGATTGGAAGTTAACATTAACACACCACATACATTTTCAAAGAAAACTTTTTTTTAAAAAATAAACTTTAAAAACATTAAAACTGTTGTTTTTAAATATCAAACCTGGTCCATCTTTGCAACTGCTTCGTGGTCCAATTCTTGATCTTCAGACAATCTTTCAACAGCCTTACTAAGCAAATCAATCCCTCGTTGATAATAGTCCAATGCTTGCAGCCCCTCACTCAACTGCCCAAGAGAAAGGTATTTTGTATGACCCTGGTCTGGAGAAAGCTCTACAGACTTCAACAATGCCTGTTTTTACAGTTAAAGAAATTAATAATTTTCTAAAACTAGTAATTTGTGTCACAAAAAACAAAATCTTAATATTTTGTCTGTAATTATAGTAACACTACAGGTCTGATGTATTCATGTGCTATATACCTTCACATAGAATGAACACAAGAATAGGCTGTAAACCCTTGTACACTCATGAAAAAATTTAAAAGTTTCATTCTACAAACAAGTACAGATATACTACAACACTTTATATGCTCAAAAAGAAATTTAAGTGTCTGATGTACAATCTGCTGCCAAACAAGCATTAAAGGATACATTATGACCTCCTTCCAAATCACCTAACTCTAACAAAACCCCAGACAAAGTTTCTAAGGCTTGCACATTTTCTGAATCCATTTCCAAGGCTCTCTCACAAAATTTTTTTGCCAGTTCATATTCAAAAGAGCTAATGCTGGAATCTGCCTAAAATAATAATAATAAAATATAAAAAAATTATTAATGAGACCAGATTAAACTGTCAGTAATACACTTTCTTGTTTAATTTGAAAATATTCATTATAATTAACAATAATGAATAAAGTAAAATAAAAATACAATGCACAGAATGAAAATTTCAGTTAATTTTACACAAATACAATTACATACTGGTGATGCTACTTGGATATAAAAAGTATTTCAAAACATATTCTGGAAATTTACCATATACTTATCTATCATTAACATCAGTATCCAAATGCATTTCAGATTAGATTGTCGAATTCTGAGTCTGAAACTAGTTGATATTCTACTATGTATTTGTTTTTACTTGGAAATCTATAAGGCCAGTTAATAATGATGCATTTAAGACTTGGGTGATGTTTTTATGACATGTTGTCCTAAAAGGCAACAAGTTTGGCCATAGTAGACTTAATACATTGCAAGAACCATTATTATTTATATTTTATAACAAACTTAAATGTAAATTTATGCCGAGTTTCATTTTTTTTCTTTAAATAAAATTCAAGAAATCGTTTCTTCTAGTTTTGTGTATCTGATTCATCACATGAAGCTCTCACTTTTTGATTTATGGCAAGCTCATGCAAAATACTTATATATTTTATAATGTCGGTATTTTCACAAAGAAACTTGCAGAGCATGGGCTTTGAAAACATTCACTATTTTTTCTTAGCTAGGCATCATTATATGGTTACCAACAGATCAATCATTCACATTAACTCTTTCAGCACGGGCTCAGTCCCTGGGAACTGACTTTGTATACACTTTGCACTTATTATAGTTTTCATACTATAACTTTTAAATTAGTAAACAAATGTTAACAAAATTTGGCAGATTATC